TCCCTCCCACTGCCAGGGACTCCCGCCCTCCCACTGCCAGGGACTCCCGCCCTCCCACTGCCAGGGACTCACTCCCTCCCTCCGCCCTCCAACTGCCAGGGACTCCCTCCCTCCGCCCTCCAACTGCCAGGGACTCCCTCCCTCCCACTGCCAAGGACTCGCTCCCTCTCACTGCCCTCCCCTGCCAGGAAATATTTCATTTTAACCCCAATGCTATGGCAACAGGAGGAACAATAACAACAAGGACACCACAAATAGGCCATAGTATTTTAATAATCATACATTAAAACATGACACAGACATGATTGAAACAGAAATAATTCAGATAGTCATACAGCCAGGATCCCTTATTTTACACAAATTATTAAATTAGCAATTAAGATTTCATTAAAACTATCTGTGGAGGGGAAAATAAGCTCTAAATATGATGGAATGCAGTGGGTTAACCAGTTTCCTGTTCGATTGCCTTTTGTTATAGACATGGCACAGACACATGAACTTTGATTTTAAAGCAATGTCTGCTTCAGGCAATTGGAAGAGGGCCCAGAGGTAATGTAAGTAGGATGAGAGGTTGGCCCAGGTATCCATCTCGTTGTCAGCAGGTAATAAACAGGTTAATGGTGACATGTAGTATAAAAGAAAATTATGACAATTTTTCCAAACTTCTTACCTCTGCTACACGTACACGGAAAGCCTTCATAAACAAGCACAAAGTGTAAAATGATAATGCAGCATGGAATTAAATGTATTTAATCTGCAATTCATTTACCACGATTCATGCAGAGCCAGCCTAAGCGGCCATTAAGGCAGAAGTGCTGCATGTAGAGTGGTTTTTCTCAACATTAAAGTGGAATGGAGGAGAATCCACATAGGAAGCACAAGTTTAGGCCTAGACTTTGCACTACAATCTGTACATTACCTGCCGAATGGATCCTTCAGCAACAACAGAAGAATGTTTGGATAGAATTGAACTAAATTTAACTTGTAGAAATGTCCTCACTAACCCACAAGATCTTCATTGAGTTTGCCCTCCTCTTATAAAAACACTGACAACTGCAAGCGAGACAGGTTTATTAATGGTCCCACAAAATCAGAATTCTAACATTTAAACTTAATATCGTCCTGTATTGGGAATTGATTAGTGTCTAATCAAAGCTACTGGTAAAACGACTGCCATGAAGTGAAGGCGATTTCATTTTTCCCAGATACCATTAGCTTTCTGCGTTAATAAATTAATTTCCCAGACAGGGAACAGCGAACAACAAATGCATTCTTTGGAAAATGACAGACAGATCTCCATTTATCAGAGCAACAACACTGTCAAAGAAATGACAAATTAAGCAAAGCAGATGAAAATGAAAGCTTCCTATACTTAGAAACTGATACATTCCAAATATACACTTGTATGAAACGCTTTACTCACAAATTGCAAAATCTTTGATAGAAGCACAGCCTCCAATAATCTCATGATTTTCAAGTTGTGAAAACGGGACGCAAGCCTTGTACATCTAAACAATCATTTTTAATGCATGTTTGCTTCTGCCAAAGAAGAAAGTCAAATTTATGAGCTCAAAAGTTTGGGCGCTTCCTGGGTGGCAGCGTATACGTGTTTTGGGTTTTATTTACTAACCTATGAATTGAGGGGAAATTAAACCAAAATAGCCAAGTTAGAAGAATAAAATGACACAAACATTGTTTCTGCTCACATTTCACAAATTCAGAAATCACTTCATGCTTTCGGGCACAGATCCCTTTATTTGCGCAGAGCAATGCCGGAGCAAAGTTGTAAGTGAAGAAATGGTCATGAAAACTGATGGAAAGTTCATACTGATCTCTCCAATGCTCTTCACTTTTCTCAGAATCTCTCTTTACAGATAGCTTTCCATATAAAGCCTGCATATATAGAAATGCCAGCTTCTATGGACAAATGTAACATGCAATGGTTGGATCCCAGTATGGGAGCTGGTGTAATACTACCCAGTAAATGACACCGTATTACTCTTCATTCATAAATAAGCTGTGTATCCACTTCATTCATCAGCAATGATTCTGAAAATATACAAACTCCTTGATACTTTTCCAGACAGGAATAAGAATATGTACACGAGAGGATTTTGTGTATAACAGAAAGCCTGGAAAGTGCTGTGGGTACCCCTTTGTAGTGTGAATCCTCCCAATTTTCCTACACCTGTCTGTCCACCTACCAATGCAGGAGGCTCTGCAGTCGTTCAGGAGTTACCCAGGAACATACAGACACGGGCAGCTCTGCAACGCACAATCCGCTGCAGACATTTCTGTTAGAAACATGTTGGCACATCCAGTTCTGCACCTGATGCTGCCTACACTGCCACAATTGTTTATAGTCGATTGTAAGATGGCAGGGAAGGGGGTGCGCACTGTGCCATTCTGAATAGATAGAAATCGATCATTTATATTTAGATGCCAAACAAGTACGATAGAAGAAGGGACGCTGGTAAGAGCAGTACGAGCCCTTCCGGGCTCTGATATGGGATGGGTTAACGTCACAATTTGCCAGCAGTCCTCCTTACACACAGGGTAATCACACAGAAAAATCCACTGACTACTGTCCAAATAATTAAAATAATAAAAACACCCTAATGAGACTTCACACCAATTAACGCAACAATAAGAACCAGAACGAGCACAGACAGGATGAGGATAACAAGCATTTTGCGGTTCTTCTTTTGGTATTGTTCAGCCTGGAAAAAATAAAGAAAAGTCCATTAGTAACAGACAGGAATTTGGTTCCAAAAATGAGGCCAATATTTGTCTTTAAACTCCAGCCAATGGAACAGAGACTGCGATTGGATGAATGTTATGGTGATGCTATAAGTGTCTGGCGTAAAATAACTTGTGTCGGTTTCAATTTAACTCTATTTGTGAAAGAGCATGTTAAAGCGCATCCTTCACTTTTTAGAATTTCATAAAGATATATTCTTTAATTTCAGTTTAATTCAAACAATCTAAAAGTACCATAAGAGAAAGTAAGGACTACATTGTCTTATGGTAAAGGAGGAGCTCCTCTGTCAACGTCTGTCCAATCCCAGCAGCCAGCAATAATGATGTCCATAGTATTCAGGCTCTGTCTGGGGACGGTTCCACGGCATCCTCCATAGATTTCAGTGTTGTGCTCTTGCACGTGAGCGAGAGTACAGCACTAATGTGGCTCCTGGCAACTTAAAGGGACATTCCAGACTTCTGCCCATTAGAGTGGCCTGGGTGCCAACTCCCACTACCCTTAACCCTACAACTGTAAATCTTGCAGTTTTCATAAACTGCAATATTTACCTTGCAGGGTTAACTCCTCCTCTAGTGGCGGTCTACTAGATTTTCTGTGCTAAAGCGTCGCTGGACGTCCTCACGCTGAAGTCCCCCGTCGCCGGCCACGCCTGCGCAATAGGTCTCCCCCGCCGGATGACGTTGGCGAGGGAGGAGCATGGGCGGACCCTGAACCAGCGCCGAAGGACATCGGCGCTGACTACAGGTAAGTCACTGAAGGGGTTTTAACCCCTTCAGCAACATGGGATGGGGGGTAGGAGGGAGAGGGGACTTGCAGTGCCAGGAAAACTGTTTTCCTGGCACTGGAGAGTCCCTTTAAGCGTCAGGAGCCCGAAGAAGACCTGCAGCTATGATATGAGGATGGCCTCTAGGGACAGCCGGACGCAATTAAAAGTCATCTCACCAGCACCGCAAAATTTACAGACTTTAAGTAGAAGATTTCATATGGAATCGTCAATCACCTTTTTGTACATTCTTGCAAATAATTGATAACATTATAGGGACACCAAGTACCAAAACAACTTTAGCTTAATGAAGCAGTTTTGGTGAATAGATCATGCCCTGCAATCTCACTGCCCAATTCTCTGCCATTTAGGAGTTAATCAATTTATTTCAATTTATGCAGTCCTAGTCACACTTTTCCTGGCTTTGATTTATGCAGCCTCCCTACACACTTCCTGTGAAGGGAGATCTGTTTTTTTCCCCAAACTGCCGTTATTTCACAGTGTGTGAAGTTATTTTACTGTTCTGTTAATAGTCTGCAAGAGCCTCCTGTGTGTGATTAAATTTCAAGAGAGCGGAAGATAAGAACTTCTAAATTAAACACACTGCACTGCAAGATCTGATTGAAAATAAATGAAACAAAATTCATGGAGGCTGTGTGAATCACAACCAGGGAAGGTGTAGCTAATAAACAGAAACAAAAGTGATTTAACTCCCAAATAGCAGAGAATTGAGCATGGAGACTGCAGGGGCATGATCTATACTGTTTCATTGTACTAAAGTTGTTTTTGTGCCTATAGTGTCCCTTTAAGTCATTTAATGAGAAACACAAAATCCCTCAATGGCTACTTACTTTTTGCAAGTGCTTCAATCCATCCTCTGTTTTAATGCAGGATTGCTCTACATTATAGTCAATTCTATCCAAAACCGTACCCTGGAAAAAAAGAATGGAATTAAAGTCAGTTTAAATTAAATGCCCTTATTTTATTAACATGAACAAATTGATCCTGGCTCTCACAATGAAGTGTGAATGTTTAAAATGTTTATTGAAGATACGTACGAAACCAATGTTCTTTGTTTTGTGCTTTTTACAGTTTGCTAATGATGATTATTAAGTCCAAACTGTAAAAACCTTTGAAATCATAAAACCGTATATTAATAGTCAATAAAATGGCATTGCTGATTGGATATCAGCTACGTTTTCTGCTATGTGTTAACCGCTCTGCTTGGGAAACAGACTTTATATACCAAAGCACCAACTTATCTGCTTGGCATCAGGACATTAAAAGGTTTAATCTAAGCATCCAGCCCACTGTAAGGATTAAAGGATTATGATGTCAGGAGTAGTGATGTCGCGAACTTCCCGTGAACGGCTTGCCACGAACCGTTTGCGACGAGCTCTGGTCAGCTGACACATCCCGGCCAATCTCCAGCAGACCCTCCCTCCCAGACCCTCCGACCTCCTGGCCAGCATCCATGTTGAAGGCAGCTTCAACATGGATGCTGGCCAGGAGGTCGGAGGGTCTGGGAGGGAGGGTCTGCTGGAGATTGGCCGGGATGTGTCAGCTGACCGGAGCTCGCCACGAACCGTGGCGAGCCGTTCGCGAAATCTCTAGTCAGGAGTACAGCAGTAATGGGGAAAACTATTTATTCGCAGTATTATAGGAAAGAGCTGGAACGTTAAAGGTCTAAAGTCGATAGGGCAAACAAGGGGATAATAAGCTTTTATTAAAGTCATCATAAGCTTTTATTGCGAGCGTTGTTTTTAATGGACTCTTCTCCAAGTCTGCATAGGCAATTCATTTTATAAACATACGTTTTTAATATAAGATGTTAATGATTGTGGACAATATAAATAGACGTTTGTAACATCGTTTTATGGACTTTTAATTATGTACTATAATGCATACTTGTATTTTATAATGCTGAAGAAACAAAACCGGAAGTCATGTGAGGGGCACAAAGCATTATGGGATTCGTAGTCCCGAGAATGCCGAAAACGGAAGTGACGTGACGGCCTGAGGAAACCTTCACTGATTGGTCAACAGACGAACAGGCAGGTTTTTTGAAAGATATAAAAACCGGAACAAGCAGAGGACTTTTACAGCCAACTGAGGAAGCTTATCGGAAGCGAAACGCGTCTTGGCAGAGGACACACAGATTGTGACTATTCACTTAAAGCCCTACAGAGCTATTTTTATGTTTTTTATTTTCTAGTCTACTGTGTATAATTTATTAATTTATATTTCATTCAGCAATAAATGTATTAGTATTTATTACTGTATCCTGCATTTTTTCCGGTTAAAGGGGGAGGTGTCACCCCAATTTGACACTGAGCCTGCAAACTTTGAGCCAGTATCTAAAAGGCGAGCACCTTATTTTCTTTTTAATACTAAAAAGGATTTCTGAAAATACTACACCCAGAGTCTCTCTCCTCTTTTCTTCTATATATTCATTGTGGAGTGGAGGAAGGCAAGAAGTTTTGAAGAATTGAAAGGGGTTAAGTTGTCTACCTTAAAGAGACACGGAAGCCTAGAAGTTTAGAGCCTAATATCTCAAAAGGCTCTAAATTATGTGAGTAGTTATAACTCACACATTATAATACCACTTTGTACATATACACAATACTGCACTCATTTTGTATATTTTTTTCTGTTTTTCAGGTATACCCTCAAATAAGTATTTAGAGGGGTAAGTTATACGTACACTTATACACTTGTCCTATACAGATCTATATAGCGCTGCACTCTAATTAGAGGCTTGGAAGGCGAAGCACCAACCAGACCTCTAGTTAATTGTTGTCTTTTGGTGTTTATTTATAGTGGGCAATTGGGAGTACCCACAGAGTGTTTCCAGCAGCTAAATTTAAATCACAATTAACATACAATTCCTTATAAGCGCCATATTTCCACACCAATTTGTGTTTACAAACAAGGGGATAACCCTAGGTAAACAATAAATAAAGAGAAACTGCCCTATACTATTAATGATTTCTAAAACGTAACATTTAATATTTTCATTAAAAACATCGTATCAGAAGGTAAAATAGTAAAGAAAATAAACCAACTTAATAAAATCAAGTCCGTAATTATATAAAGAAAAAGATATTTAGATAGATTAGTTTCTGCTACGTATATCTGGAGGTAGAAAAGATCTTGTGATGATAGTTAGACTTACAGGAAAAGACTGGCTGTCTATAATCACACGGAGAGAGAGTGTAACAAATAGAACGTATTGCAGCTAGATACTAATTTAACAATTATCCTTGAATTGAGCTGCTAACTGAACTGTTGCTCGAGCTCTGGCTTGAACAAAAAAAAAGTCTACCTCTACCCAATCGTAGTGCAAAGATCATCGTGTAAAAATCTCGTTCTTATTGCATTAATAACCATATATATTCTTAGCATTAACCAATAATTTAGTTATTCCATTTGCCCTAATGCATTAGACAGTTTTTTCTTTAGGTTTTATTTTCACAACGATATTCCAGCTTTGCAATTGGCTACCTACCTGAAATTAGAAATTCAAAAGACCTTATCCCCTTTCCTTCCCCTTTACTGGTTTCTGATTGGATCATACTAACGTCAGTCAAAGGAAACTGACATGATTGGATCATCCAGAGAGACCTATCGGTTAGATTTACCCAATATACATTCAGCCGAAGTGAGTGGTCTCATTTCCCCAGCCGCCTGATATTTCGCATAAATAACAGACCACACAAACACAGACACAGTTTATTTTATTTCAATGGGCTTGGCTGGGGTGTTTATTAAAAGCTTAAAAAGGGCATACCACCATAACTTGATAACGGTAACATATGCACATAAAAGATTTGGAAGTAAAGTGAAAACATTTAACTTTCACCATCACTTAATTGCCAGTCAGTCATTGCTAACCTGACCGCCTTTTATATACAACCATTTAACTAATATCCTTCCTCAGAACGTGAACCTGAGGATGACTTTGCCCCACAGCCAAGGCCCTTTCTGTCATGTATCCAGATTAGAAATATCTAGACCAATATTTGACAAATAAACCTGGTCTTTACAAAACAGGTTCTTTCTGATCTAATTTCAAATGTCTGTGAGAAAACCCGCCCAACCATGGCAAAAATCTTGACATTGCTAAATTCAACTTTCTACGCACTCTCTCCAGCGCTTTTAACTCTCGGTTTACTAACCAGCGCCGGACCATCTCTGACCAAACTAGAATGGTGTAAGGGAATAACTTTCTCAATTCCAAACAAACATTTTTAGCATTACGTAATAACTGCACAGATTTAACAACACCTATATCATTACCCCCCAATATGAGTTATTAAAATATCTGGAGCAGGCCAAGTCGACGCACACTCTAATATGAGCGCCATTAACTGATGAATTCGCAGACCACCTACACCTTTCCAATATATTGCGACGTCATCACGATTGAAGTCCAAGTTCAGTCCATATATCCTTGCTCCTGCCCTTAGCATGGCCCGGTTTACAAAGGAATGACCTAAAACCCAAATATTTGTTACGATACCTGAAGTAAATAATAAAAGAGTGAAAGGAGGAAAAAACAAGCATTACATCATTTCGCACATATAACTTAAAACAGTTTGACCCCCACTTCCCAATCTTCTTAACTGCATCTGCACCAAAACCTAATTTCGTCGCTTCAGTTGCTGCCCCAATTCTGAACAAATGAGTCGTAAATTTGCCTTTATAACCAAGCCTTTCAAAGCATTACTGCAAAACCCTCTGGAATTTAAAACGTGTTAGAGGAGAGCCTGAGATATGCACCAGCAGAGGACCATGCACCACCGGGCAGACAGCTAAATAAACACGCAACGTCTCCACTGGGCAAACTCTACCTTCCTTGATACTTGACAAATGAATCCATCTGCCTTTTCCCATTTGATCGGTTTTTGAAGATTGCAACCAAATATCTACCTGTGAATCCCTTATGATCACCTTCTTAAAGTGACAGTCTGAATCTACTGAAAGAAGAACTCACTGATTCTAAATGCTGCACAAAAGGCTAAAGAAAAGGCTGCTGAAAACAAAAATACTTCGAATAACAAACCGTGTTTAAAACATCAAGCATATCTAACACTGAATAAGTTATTAAAATAACCTTTTAACAATGGTTTAATCACAAATGCATTCACTACTACTCGCTTACTTAAAAGGAGCAAAAAATATGTTAAAACCGCTAAGCGTCTGGAGATGGCATTTTTTGATATGCCATTATTAATACATTGAATCACAAAAGAGAAGGCAGATTCTATATTACCACCTACTGGATCAACCCGGATTAGTTCATGGAATTTATACCATTCATTCCATGCGGACACATATGCACTCCATGTGCGCTGTGCAAGTGGTTTCATGAGAAATTGCCTGGATCTCCCCAGATTAATTGCCAAAGGCATTTTGGCAATTCCGCGCTCTCTTCCTCTGCGTCCGGCACTAACCTTCTAAAAGCGCTGAGCTGAAAACGAGAAATAGCATCAACTATCTTATTCTCAATACCCGGAATACGCACAGTCTTCACCCAAATATGTTTTAAACATAACAATACTAGAGATCAAAGCAAGCAATCAATATCAAAGCAACATTTAGAATGCACTGAATTAATGACCTGTACCACCAACTTATTGTCACAGTGGAACAAAATCCGGCAGTTCCTCGCCCCATACTAAAATTGCTGATACAATTGGTAACAATTCAAGCAGAGTTAAATTGCTTGGTTAATCGTTGCTCCACCCATTCATCTGGCCACTGCGCAAAGGCCCAATTCTTGTTCCAGAATATGCCAAAACCAACTGACCCCGCAGCATCCACAAATAGTTCTAAAGCTTCATTATCCTGAAATTCCGTTTGCAAGAATGAACAGCCATTGTATTCTTGTACGAATTGATCCCACACTTTCAAATCTTTTTTTTAATTTCTGCAGAAATCCTTCCGAAACAGTGAATTGATTTATTTTTTACACAAGCCAAAGCCATTCGCCTACAAAAAAAATTCTTCCTAAAATACGACCTGCAAATGCCAATAGGCCTAATAACAAACTGCTTTAATGTGGCTTTTTGCTTGCTAAAAAGAAAACGATTTTATCTTTAAGCTTAGAAATCTTTTCTGCCGGCAGTTTACATTCAAAGGCAACAGAGTCAATTGTTATCCCTAAGAATTGAAGACACGTCACTGGCCCCACTGTCTTCCCCACTGCTAGCGGAATACCAAACCATTTGGCTAAATACAGAAAAACTATAACAACAAAACACATTCTGAACCGGAACTAGGAACAATGAACAAAAAAAAAAAAAAATCATCCAGATAATGTACAATAGAATATAAAATAAACCAGTCTCCACATTAACAACCCATTCCAAGAGTGAAGAAAAGGCTTCAAAATAAAAACAAGAATTGGAGCAACCCGTTGGGGAACATTATCAAAATAAAACTTGCCAAGGAATGAAAAACCCAATGAATTGAAACCTTCCGGATGCGCTGGCAATAGCCTAAAAGCTGACTTCAGTGCACCCGGTCCGA